TGCAAGATAATTATCAGGTTCTAATTCTAATAATTTATTAAAATCTGTTAATGCTTTATTATACATTTTTAACTTTTGATACGTTTCTCCTCGTAATCTTAATATATAATTATTAGGTTCTAATTCTAATGATTTATTAAAATCTGTTAATGCTTCAATATGCTTTTTTAGCATTTGATAAGTTTCTCCTGTTAGTCTCAATTCAAGATAATAATTTGGTTTTATTCTTAATAATTTATTAAAATCTGTTATTGCTTCATTATACTTTTCTAACTTTAAATAAGATTTTCCTCGTGATCTTAGTGCAAGATAATTATTTGGTTCAATTTTTAATAAAATATTAAAATCTATCAATGCTTCATTATGCTTTTCTAACTTTTGATGAGATAACCCTCGTAACCATAGTGCAAGAACATTGTTTGGTTCAATATTTAATAAATTATTAAAATCTGATAATGCTTCATTATACTTTTCTAAAACTAAGCAAGTTGTCCCTCGTGATTCTAATGCAAGAGCATTATTTGGCTTTATTTCTAATAATTTATTAAAATCTGTTAATGCTTCAGTATACTTTTCTAACTTCAGATAAATTTCTCCTCGTAATCTTAATGCAAGACAATCATTTGGTTTTATTTCTAATGATTTATTGAAATCTGTTAATGCTTCATTAAGCTTTTCTAACTTTTGATAAGTTTCTCCTCGTAATCTTAATGAAAGATAATGATTTGGTTCTAATTCTAGTAATTTATTAAAATCTGTTAATGCTTCATTATACTTATCTAACTTTTGATAAGTTTCTCCTCGTAATCTTAATGCAAGATAATTATTGGGTTTCAATTCTAATAATTTATTAAAATCTGTTAATGCTTTATTATACTTTTCTAACTTTTGATAAATTATCCCTCGTAATCTCAATGCAAAAGCATTGTTTTGCTTTATTTTTAATAATTTATTAAAATCAGTTAATGCTTTATCATACTTTTCTGACATCAGATAATTTTCCCCTCGTGATCTTAATGCAAAAGTATTGTTTGGTTCTATTCTCAATGCTTTACTAAAATCCATTGATGCTTCATTACACTTTTCTAACTTTTGATATGTTTCTCCTCGTAACATCAATGTATCTATTGATTGATATATTTCTTCTCGTTTCCACAACCACTTTTTAGGAGCATTATATAATTCAATTTTTAAAGAATTATTAAAATCTATTAATGCTTCATTATACTTTTTTAATTTTAGATAAGTTTTCCCTCGTAATCTTAACGTAAAATAATTATCTGGTTCAATTTCTAATGATTTATTAAAATCCGTTAACGCTTCATCATGCTTTTCTAACTTTAGATAAGTCTCTCCTCGTAATCTTAATGTAAGATAAATATTTGGTTTTCTTTTTAATGATCTATTAAAATCTGTTAATGCTTTATTATTTTGTTTTAACTTTTGATACGTTTGTCCTCGTAATCTTAATGCAAGATAATTATTTGGTCTTCTTTCCAATGATTTATTGAAATCTGTTAATGCTTCATTATACTTCTCTAGCTTTAGAAAAGACTCACCTCGTAATCTTAATGTAAGATAATTATTAGGTTTTATTTCTAACGATTTATTAAAATCTATTAATGCTTCATTATGCTTTTCAAACTTTTGATAAGTTTCTCCTCGTAATTTTAATGAAAGATAATTATTTGGTTCTAATTCTAATAATTTATTAAAATCTGTTAATGCTTCGTTATACTTTTCTGACATTAGATAAGTTTTCCCTCGTGATCTTAATGCAAGAACATTATTTGGTTCTTTTCTCAATGCTTTACTAAAATCTATTAATGCTTCTCTATATATTTCCAACCTTTGATATGTTTCTCCTCGCAACATCAATGTATCCATTGATTGATATGTTTCTTCTCGCTTCCACAACCACTTTTTAGGAGCATTATATAATTCAATTATTAATGAATTATTAAAATCTATTAATGCCTCATTATACTTTTTTAACTTTAGATAAGTTTTCCCTCGTAATCTTAACGTAAAATAATTATCTGGTTCAATATTTAATAAATTATTAAAATCTGTTAATGCTTTATTATGCTTTTTTAACTTTTGATAAGATACTCCTCGTAATCTTAATACAAGATAATTATTGGGTTCTAATTTTAATAATTTATTAAAATCGATTAATGCTTCATTATACTTTTCTAACTTTTGATAAGTTTCTCCTCTTAATCTTAATATATAATTATCGGGCTCTAATTCTAATGATTTATTAAAATCTGTTAATGCTCTATAATATTTTTCTAATTTTTGATAAGTTACCCCTCGTAATCTTAATGCAAGAGCATTGTTTGGTTCAGTTTTCAATAACTTACTAAAATCGAATGATGCTTCATTATACTTTTTTAATACAAAATAAGTTGCCCCTCGTGATCCTAATGTAAGAGAATTATTTGGTTTTATTTCTAATGATTTATTAAAATCTGTCAATGCTTCATTAAACTTTTCTGACTTTAGATAAGTTTCTCCTCGTAATCTTAATGTAAGATTATTATTTGGTTTTATTTTTAATGACTTATTAAAATCTGTTAATGCTTCACTGTATTTTTTTAAATTTAAATAAGTTACTCCTCGTAACCTTAACATAGAAGCATTATCTGGTTCAATATTTAATAAATTATTAAAATCTTTTAATGCTTCATTATGCTTTTCTAATTCTAAATAAGTTATCCCTCGTAATCTTAATGCAAGATAATTATTAGGTTTTAATTCTAATAATTTATTAAAATCTGTTAATGCTTCATTATATTTTTCTAATTTTTGAAAAGTTACTCCTCGTAACCTTAACAGAGAAGCATTATCTGGCTCAATATTTAATAAACTATTAAAATCTATCAATGCTTCATTATACTTTTTTAACTTTTGATATGTTTCTCCTCGTAATCTCGATATATAATTATCAGGTTCTAATTCTAATAATTTATTAAAATCTGTTACTGCTTCATTATACTTTTCTAACTTTTGATAAGTTACTCCTCGTAATCTTAATGCAATATAATTATTTGGTTCTAATGCTAATAATCCACTAAAATCTGTCAATGCTTCATTATACTTTTCTAACTTTTGATATGTTTCTCCTCGTAATCTTAATATATAATTATCGGGTTCTAATTCTAATGATTTATTAAAATCTGTTATTGCTACATTATATTTGTTTAATTTTTGATAAGTTACCCCTCGTAATCTCAATACAAGAACATTATTTGGTTCAATTTTCAATACCTTACTAAAATCGAATGAAGCTTCATTATACTTTTTTAATACAAAATAAGTTGCCCCTCGTGATTCTAATGTAAGAGAATTATTTGGTTTTATTTCTAATGATTTATTAAAATCTGTTAATGCTTTATTATACTTTTCTGACTTTAGATAAGTTTCTCCTCGTAATCTTAATGCAAGATAATTATTTGGTTTTATTTTTAAGGATTTATTAAAATCTTTTAATGCTTTATTGTATTTTTCTAAATTTAAATAAGTTAACCCTCGTAACCTTAACGTAAGAGCATTATCTTTTTCAATATTTAATAAATCCTTGAAATCTATTAATGCTTCATTAAGCTTTTCTAATTCTAAGTAAGTTATCCCTCGTAACCTTAATGCAAGATAATTATTAGGCTCTAATTCTAATGATTTATTAAAATCTTTTAATGCTTCATTATACTTTTCTGACTTTAGATAAGTTTCTCCTCGTAATCTTAATGAAAGATAATTATTGGGTTTTAATTCTAATAATTTATTAAAATCAGTTAATGCTTTATTATACTTTTCTGACTTTAGATAAGTTTCTCCTCGCAATCTTAATGTAAGATAATTATTAGGTTTTATTTCTAATGATTTATTAAGATCTGTTAATGCTTCGCTATACTTTTTTGACTTTTGATAAGTTTCTCCTCGTAATCTTAATGCAAGATAATTATTGGGTTCTAATTCTAATAATTTATTAAAATCTGTTAATGCTTCATTATACTTTTCTAACTTTAGATAAGTTTCTCCTCGTGATTTTAAAGCACGAGCATTGTTTGGTTCTTTTTCTAATGCTCCACCAAAATACATTGATGCTTCGTTATACTTTCTTAACTTTTTATAAAATTCTCCTCGTAACCTCAATGCAAAGGCATTATTTAGTTTTAATAGAGACATTTCGCTACTCTAATAATAGTTTGTTTGAATCTTAATTTTTTTATATTTACAACGAACTTGAAAATTAAATTCCCACCCCTGAAATATATTTTAGGTTTTGTGTTACGTGCTGTTTGTCTATTATATTTATACAAACTGTCAAGAAGGATCATTTTCTAATAATAGCAATAGCTTTAGCCTATCCATACTAATTAAGATAAACTTATTCCTCACCTAGGTGAGAATCTCTGATTGTCATACTTCATCACTTCCCGAATATCAATTTTTACTATTTTTTTGGAAACCTTATTTGTCACAATTTTTCATATAATTTTCATATTGTTGTCACTTGATCCTTCATTTCAATCACGTGTATGTAGAAATATTTCCTGGTTGAGGAATAAATGTGCCTTTAAATAAATGCCTTGTATAATCATGCATTCGTTAATAAATATAACATGCATCAGGAAATTTTTTAGGCGTAAATCTCCGTAATATTACGGCAGCTACGTAATATTACGGTATTTATAACGGGTCTTTTTGACTTTAAACCACTAAATATTGGTATATATCGGTGTTAAAAGGATAAAACATATGTCACCTTAATCAAAAATCACTCCTTGTCCGACAAATCGCTTAAAAATTGCGAAATTTTTTACTGTGAAATTTTTCAGTAATTTTTCCGAAATTTTACGTAATCTTTACGGTACCTTAAATATTACGACTTCTACATAATATTACGAAGATTTACGCCTAAAAAAATTTCCAAATGTGGCTATTTTGAAGTATTATTGATTTCTTGAAAATAAAAATAAAATGCACAAGAGATTATGAATAATGTAATATATTATTTTAATGGGACATTAGCTAAGTTAACCAATTTCGAATCTAATTGTCGAGAGAAATTAACTTTAATTCGTTTCCTTTATCTTAAAACACATTCCGCTGAGATTTTCCGTATTTTTTTTTTGAAATTCCACCGCGTTAGTAATTATTGTACGAACGAGAACAGCAAGGAAGAGAGTGAGAAGTATATGAACGAGAGCAAAAAGAAAGAGAACAAGAAGCATATGGACAACAACAATAGAGGAAGAAAAGGAAAGAGAATATGCTATGAGGGAACAAGAAGAATATGAAAGACAAGAATTAGAGTGTCAACGAATGAAATATGTTTTTATACCGGAACCATTTAACTTCGATTTAATTTAATTCTTTAAATCATTAGCCGAGAGTAATGAATTAACATTAAAGCATGTTATACTATTAAAGATGGTACATTTAGTAGATTATTCCTGGGTAAATTTAGAGAAAAATAATGAGCTTATTTATTGTATTTATTCATTGATCCAATTATTTATTTCAACATATTAATAAATTTTTTTTTAACAATTATTTTTATAACTTATTAAATAAAAATATAAATAATGAAGTTGAAGTTTGTTGGATTTAAATCCTGATGAGGCAACAAATCACCTACATTTAATACTCCTCTTTTTTTAACGTTTTTTAATGTTGAGAGTAAACTAATTAATTTATGATTATAAGTATAAAGTTGAACAACAAGAAGTTCATGAAGTCGAATCAGAAGAACAAGATCAACCTTACCTTCGGCCAGGGCTCTATATATGAAAGCCTAATGAGAAAAGACACATCATTATCGATATTGATATCAGAAGAAAAGTCTATCAATCGTTTTTTTTATAAGTTCAGAGGTAGTTGCGTGTCTTGCTCACAAGCTGATTAAATTAAGGTGTGCATTCTTTTTAATTAAAAAAAAAATTATTTAAGTATCAAAATGTATTTCTCTTAATTCAATTATAGCACAACGAAATTGTGCCAAACTTTTTTTTATTAGATTCCCCTAAACTAGGGTTATTATATAATGCGATTGTATTAAAATTGAATGTTAAAGTGAGTAATTACACTTTAAATAAAAGTGACAAAAAATAATTATTATAATCTTTGAACGTTACCCATACCGGATTGATGGATATTGAAGATAAATGCCAACTATCTTATATATAACTGTAGCCAGAAATGATATCTACAACTTTAATTGGTAGAATATTTTGTAGTATCTAGTAAAAATTTGGACTTTACTTGGACGTGAACAAAAACGGCCGGAATTTAATAAAAACAAAGATTGAAATAAAAAAATATGAAAATATCTATTTATCATTTAATCGTCTGTAATTTATTATTTATTAATAGAACAATAAAAGTAGTACTAAGTAACCCTAAAGCCTGATATATAGTGCATCTTTTGTAAAAATTTCAATCCTATATATTGTGAGTTAGTGAATAATAAATAATTAATTTCAGAGAGTAATTTTAAAACGTCTGATATCAACCGCAACCGTTAATATTAAGTCCAATTCCCAATTTAAAAATCTGAAACTTTCACAGTAGATGTTCTATATAATGGACTTTAACTTTACTTAGTACCATTTATATTATTATATCAATCATCGGTCATTTCTGTTCAGCTGTAAGTCTCTAATTTAAATTTTGTGCAACCAGGTGAAGAAATTTTTCAGTTTTTTGCTAACTTCACATATTACATATTGACTATACTTTAACATCAAATAAATATTTTTTAACTTTCAAATAATAGGTTTTTACAAATATTGAAACCTCTAACTTTATATTTATTAAATTGTTATTCTTTAAACATTATGCTCTCACAACCACTTATTGCAGGATGCTTTTTTAATATTTAATATTGTCAGGATTTAATCTTCCATAATTTTGTTCTCATAAAGACTGGATCAAAAATAGTATAAGTGCAACCTTTATTAAAAAGAAAATTATTTTTTGCACCTTAATTTTACTAATATTTAATTTTATTTAATGTTTTTATTGAAGTTGGACACTTAAAATGTATTGGAGGTGAAAATCCCAATTAAAACACAAAAAATTGTTGGTTACTATAGTGAGTATCATAGAAAGCTCCCTATACAGATCCCTGATATGACAAGTGACTGATATTAATAGATAAAGTTTAATATGTAGATATGATTTATAATTTTTTTTTTTTTTTTTTTTTTTTTTTTTTTTTTTTTTTTTTTTTTATATCCAACGGAGTCTTGCTCCAA